ATTAAAACAAACCATGTAAAACCATCTACTATATGTATCTACTATATGTAATGTTAGAAGTAAAACATAAACTATCTACTATATGTAATGTTACAAGTAAAACATAAACTATCTACTATATGTAATGTTAGAAGTAAAACATAAACCATCTACTATATGTAATATTACAAGTAAAACATAAACCATCTACTATATGTAATGTTAGTGTCCAGATGCTCAGGTTGATATTCCATACTCCATTAGAAATTTCAAGTGTCAGTACATTTTACAAATTATACATTTCTGTAAAACATAACTGTCAATAATAAATTAGCCAAACTTTATGAATTTTAATTCTAACCTTTCGTAGCTGGTTAGTGAAAAACAGGGTCTGCAAGAGAGAATTCATATAACAAGTTGCCCCTTGGTTCTTCAGGCCTACAAAACCTGTGTGTTTCTTGGAGTCCCAGCTGTAACAATAATAACACATTATATTTATCCATACTTTGATAAACAATCTACTTTATCTGTACCACCTCACTATCTTCAACAGACTTATAACTGAGTTTTCATGATACTCTACCTTTAAATGTATAATTAAAAATCCCCTATATTTTCTTACAATATTGTTAGTCCAGTCAAAATGGTTTTGTATATGTATTAATGTTGTGTGCAATACGTCGTTAAAGTGCTCATGGCACTACTTGTTTGTAGAGTTACATTCAACATTTAATTATCCATTTAAAGGTAGAATATCATAGAAACTCAGCCTCACTATCTTCAACAGACTTATAATGGTACAGCTTTCTTACAATATTGTTAGTCCAGTCAAAATGGTTTTGTATATTTATTAATGTTGTGTGCAATACGTCGTTTAAGTGCTCATGGCACTACTTGTTTGTAGAGTTACATTCAACATTTAATTATCCAATTTTATTACCAGCATGTGTGAATAAATATGGTATCCAAATCAACTTTATAATTTCAAAAGGAAATATAAACAAAAAAATCTCAAACTTCACTTTGGGTCACGTGATGGGTTCGTCAAATCAACCATTTTAGATTTTCTTTCTACACTTATATAAGATTATTAGTAACCAATAGAAAGAGTAGCTTTTCCTTTACGAGATTCCTTATACTGTTGTTTCATTTTGGTTCCTGTAAGTAGATATTTAACCTTAAAAGCTTGGATAAAGAAGTCTCTTTAAGGAAGTGTCAAGAATGAACTGATTTTATACAAATAAAACCATAAAACAAAGCCCCCTCCCCCTGGATTTACAGCACTATAAACTGGGTTTGGATACCTGTGGTGGACAGAACACAGATAGCCCATTGTCTAGCTTTTTGGTGATGAAATAGTTACAAATCATTTTGAAAAAACTGTTTCCTCCCTTTTTTTTCTGGCATATTTAAGTTTTAGAGTGAAGTATGATCATGTACACACATCTTTAGGGACATCATGTTTATCTCTCTTACATTGTAGCCCACCCTTTAGACACATCTTCAGGGGCATCACGAATATCTATTGTAGATTACTGCTCACCCTGTATATAGATCTTTAGGGGTATTATAGATACCAATTGTAGATTATGGCCCATCTCGTAAACACATCTTGTATCACTGAATTCTGACTTTAAAAAAAATCTTGAGCACGTTTTAAAGGTCTCTTCTTACACCTGGATCGAGGCAACTCGCTTGAAAGTGTTAAAGCTTTGTATCAGACCTGAGAACATCAATTTTGTTTTTGTTTTTATGATAAGGCTTATATTAAAGAATTGATAAAGAACTTTGATAGAATATTTAAGTATCAGCAAATCTCATTGTTATCAGAATCTACAAATGTGTTTTAACCCTTTCCTGCAATGGTTTGGTTATTGTTAGATAATACAAATTTTTTACAACAATTATTAACAAGAAATATGATGAAAAAATAATCATATTGTAAATAAAAACGATTTGCTACAAACCTAGTTTTTAACTGTACATGTATAATAAA